ACATATATCAAGTTAGTCCTTTTAATTTTATCACCTTGTTATGTACAAATAATGGATTTATGGATAATACATATCAAGAAGCTTTACTCCAAGATATAGAAAATACGAGATAAGAGAATACATAGATGTATTCTACCTTTCAGCATATGCATGTGATAAACCAAAGCTTGTACTGGATTCAATAAAATGGACTGTCATAAGTTTAAATTAAAGCAAGTGTATTAAAATATGAGATCTACATAAATGTAAATAAAACAATAGTTTCAGGAGAAAATGTTACTTTTTCCCAACTAATGTATGCAGCATTACAAAAGAGCACGGCATTTTATGTAAAAATTAAAAATGGCTTTTTGAAGTCACCTTGCAGGCCTGAGTTAACAGCTGCAAGAATCTGGGCTAACTTGGCAAACATTCTGAATGCAAAAGCAGGAATGCAGAGCATCTAAACAAGCATCCATCATCAGCAGACACTATGCAGGTTGGAGATAAGAAGAAATAAAAATCTCCAAGAGACCAGTGCTGGGATTTGACCTGGTATAAATTCTGAGCATCAGAAAGTATAAAATGTCTGTTATAGACATTGTTTGACATATGTCAAATACAGCAAACAGTATTCCAGGAAACAGCCATGTTCGTCCACCGTCTAGGCCACTCATGAATTTTTTAGCGCTTAGACTTTGTTAATCTTTTAAAAGCATGTATCTATCGAGTATTGAACAAAGTATAATTCTCAACTACTCCTACTCAAGTTAAATTTTCATTATTTCACTTGCAGAACAAAACAGGTGAAGTAGAAATTAAATTATAAAGGCAAAAGTTATTAACAAACCTTTACTGCTCCAAGTTGTTCTTTTCTGAATTTTTCCAGAGGCTTGATTAGAGTTTCAGTTACACTTAGGGCCTTTCAAGGAAGAAGAAAATAAAGACTACAGAATCTTCACAAGTGTGTCAAGTATGCTTACAATTATATTACGATAGTAAGAAAGCATTGTACTGAACAGTATTTTCCAAATGAAAATATATTTTTTAAACAAATCCGTATCAACTTCTGTTAATAAACTGCCACTGACCTAAGAAAAAGAGCACACATGTATGTACATTATTCTATTAGGTATAAATTTATGTCACATGGAAATAAATAAATCCAATTTTTTTTGAGACAATGATGTATTTAGAGTATACATCCATACGTATTTTGCTTATTTATAAATATTATATATATATACATATAGATACTGCATATAGATATAAAAAGATATATATAGATATATATAGTGTGTGGGTATGTATGCATGTGTGTGTGTGTGTGTATATTTACAATTATTGTTAATTATAATGAAACATGCCTTCTCTGTAGCAGCTCCTGCCTTCTGGAATGACATTCCCCCTGAGATTTGGATGGCCCCCACTATGCTGTTGTTTAGAAGAGCAATGAAGACCTGGCTTTTCACCTAGGCCTTTGGCAAGTGGGAGGGAGACCTCTTGTTTCTTGGACTTGCCATCTTGTATCTCTGTCTTTTATGTTTTATTGATTTGATTGTAATTTATTTTTTCGATCATTGTGAGCCACACAGAGTCACTGACTCAGGCGGCATACAAGTTTAATAAATGATTATTAGGTAAAAACTCTCATTATTCTATAAAGGGAGGGAGGGAGGGAGGGAGGGAGGCCTTGTTCACATCTAGAGGCTTGTGATAGATTTAATGAATGAAAGTAAGGATGCACATTATTGATGCAGATTTTATTACTGCCCAAAGGATTATTTAGTGCTTGGAAATATGATAAGGCTGCTGCTCTGAAGCTGAACCTTACCTGTATTTTTTTAAGAAATTACCCCTGCTGGTTACACTATAGATTATTTTCTGAATGTTTTTATGAAGACTATGGTCTTATCACAATTCTATGCAGGTCTAAAAAGAAAAGTGTCCCTCAAATTTAGCTCATCTCAGTGACCAAATGGAAATACCCAAGGTTTGGAGTGGGGGAGGGTTGCAACATACAGAAGTAATTTGCCACTGTTTTCTTCTAGGAATTTTTTTCTGAATTCCCTGTTACTCTTTAGCCTGAGAGTCCTTCATGCAAGTTCTAACCAGAATTGATCCTGCTTAGTTTCTCTGAGAAATGCCAAATGCTGAGAGTGAGAAGAAATGCTTTGCATTGGATTATTTCTATCTAAATGTGCATGAGACTGCAGAGTCACCTTCCCAGTTGTTTGTAGTATTATAAACTGAAAACAGGGGAGAAAGGATTTTACCCTATAATTTATCAAGCAATTGACTTTTTAATTTATCAGGGCAGATACTTCTCCAGTACTCGGGGGTGCTTCTAGTGGAAAAGCCTAGACCCCGGAGTGGCAGTTTGACTTAATAAATCTTACAAAAGCACATATTTGCATTGGGAGAGTTCAGTTCAAAACAAAATTTTCACATTGTTTCTTCCTTTGCTCCATCCAAGGTGTGTATGAAAATACTTTTCAAGCACTTGGGTGTATATGTTTGCATAAGAGAGGCATCTTTCTCAGGAATCACACATCAAGAACTCCTGAACTGAAACAGCAGCTTTAGAAATTCCTGACAGAACCACCTGTCAGCTTACCAAAACATATTTTGGATGGTGCAGTGAACTGCTAAAAACATTTTCACTAGTGAGAAAATGCATAATGAACTTCTGATGTGCATTTTGTGTATATTCTCAAAGGACAAAGGTAGGTAGAACAGTCCAACATTCCAGGACTCCAATTTGCAAGGATTAATTTTTCTGCTTCAAACTTTCCTCAGATGTTTTCATTGCCTGGGTAGGGGGCTATAGAAACCAAACTAAGAGAGAAGACTGGCTGTGGAATGACAGGAGCTGTAATCTCATACCTGGAGAGGATATCAAATAGGGCAACTATTGCCTAACTTCCAATGACACTTATTGAGCCCTAAAGTAACCTACATGAGCTGGGTTCAAAGAATAGAGAGACTCTGATATTCCCTTAAGTTCTCCCATCCAAGTATTAACCAAGCCCAATTCTGCTTGGTTTCTGATCCCAGACAAGTTTGGCCAAGTACTGTCAAATGCTGAAACTTTTAGAGAAAGAGTTTAAATTAAAAGATTTTCTTCAAGAAGTTCAAATGGATACATAAGAAAATTTTGCAGTTTGAAAACTAAAAATATATACATGACAGTACTGACAGATTACATACTATTATATTTTATCAACTGGAAACAAAATTACTCCTCTCTTCATAGTTAGAATGCAACCATACTTTGTCTTCTGCCATTTTAAAAAGAAATAACTCACCATTATTTCTCTTTGTTCTTCTAAATTTTTCAGAAAGTTAGAGAATTCATGAAGGGCTGCATCTGTAAGAGGAATAAATATTAGACACTGCATATTACAAATAAAATAGAAAAATTAAAATTTGAGCTTTCATATCAATTTTCCTGTACACTAACATACCTATGCATCTTTCGTCATCTGTTTCTGCATCACCAATACATTCAAACCTAAAGTCTCTCAGTGAACGAGCAAACTTTCTTTGGGCAGCTGAAAGATCTAAAAAGAAAAAAGAAAAAATGCATGATAGGGCTCTTCAATTCAATAGAAGAGTTTGTAATATATTATTAAGGTACAATAAAAAAGTTAAATTTTGACTCTTCATTATTTAATGGACTTGGCTATGGTTTTGTTTTTATTTTATTTTGGAAACAATATTGAATAAACTAATTTATGATATTTCTATCTTGTACGTAAAGTGTGAGAGGGAGAAAAGAGAGAGAAACATTGAGTATTTTGTTACTGTTTACTAACATTTACAGCTGTATGGACACAATAAGATATCTTAATTTATACTTAATATACGTATACCCTATAATCCTTAGAAGCTCCATCATGACATAAATGGAACAGAAATTTAAGTTGTAATAAAGTTTATGTGACTATATATGCATTAGTAAAATACATTTAAAATCTCTTCTAACTATTGAACAACACATCACTTGTAATTATCTGGTGATAGCACGAATTCAGTTTGGCTATATTAAGAACTTATGCATTACTTCCCCCAGAAATTGTTCTCTGGCTCAGAATCACATGTATTCAATATTCACGATTCATCAGAGATCAGCTGCTCAGAAGGCACATACCAACTGAAACTATACAAAGTATTCTTAAGTAAGCATATCCTATAGTATACGTACAAACCACAGCTGTGTTAAATATCATTTTGAGAATGAATATTTAATGTAGTGGAGCTGGAGAATGGACCCTTCCAAAGTCTGGCTCATACCACTATATAGCACTGAACATCTCAATCACCTAACTATATTTGTTATACACAGTCTCAGTAGATTAGGCACCGAGTCTTGATACACAGACAAATTTATACAACTGCAGCCACCTGCATGCTGACAGATGAGAGCTGCTACAGCCATATAACACTAGTGTTGTGGGTGCTACACTGATTTACAGTATGTTTTTTGGTGCAAATCAAAAGGATTCTTTTAACTATAAAGCCCTACATGATGTGTCTCCCAAGTACCTTCAGGATTGCCTCTTCCACGCAGCATCAGCCTCTCTTCAACAATCATCGTAAGTGGGGTGTTAAAGGTTCCTCACAAATGTGAGGTGAGTGGGCAGTGAGCAATGAAGGTTTCCTGTGGCAGCTCCTTCTTTTGGAACAGCCTTGAAAAGGTTATCAAATGGGACTCTTCAGTAGGGCCTTGAGGTGTCATTATTGCTGCTAATTATTACATTGGGGCCATAACTAATTCTTATTATGTTATTATTGTTTTATTGGTTGTTGTTTTATTTGACTGTTTTATCTTTGCAATTTTTGTCTATTTTTATCTGCATTTAAATTGCTGTGAATTAATCTGCTTTAGCAGTATACAAAAATACTCATCAATAGGTAAACCCTTAACATTATGGACACTCCATTATGGATGCAAATGATTTTTTGTTAAAAGAAGATGAGAGACAGTCACCTGGAATATAGGCAAAGAATCAGATATAATATAAAGGCAGCACTCCAAACCCTCATTTTATTTATATGCAACAGGGCATGACTGAAAGTAAGACACATTAGAGTAATACAGATAAAATATTCTAATCCTGTCCTGAAGTTAGAAGGCAAATGAAATTATCTTCCCTTTTAAATATAGATGTTTGAACAGTTATATAGCTATCAAAAAGATGTTATATAAGAAGATATACTAACATGTTTAAGCTATTCCAGGCAATTATTTTATGGAATTCAATAGAATGTTTAAATAAGAACGGAATTTGTTGAAACACTGTATCTCAATAAACAGATTTTTCCATAAAAGCCAAGATTCCTAAGATTCTGCCACATCATTATATTTTACAGAGTTAGATTCCATGCTGCCATGGTAATCACACCCATGCAGATTTTTTTGCCTACTTAAAACAACTGATGTTTATTATAACTGGCACTCATGAAATTCACCATATAAAAATTCAGATTCCATAAAGGAATCAGTATAAAATATTACACATTTAACATAAATAAATATTTGTTTCTCTTATTATTACCTACTGTTGTGAAGTGTGTATGCAGTACAGGTGTGGTCCTTTGCTCTCTTAAAGTCCCAGGGGCACAATCCATAAGGAAGGAAAACTCAGGTCAGCAATCTTTTTAATGTTATATGAAAGATCATGTTTAGATGCTCTAGTGCTTAATGTTTACTTTAAAAACACATTCTTTTAATTGAAGCAGTAGCACTGAAATCTATATACTACTAACACTCTTGTGTCTGTTTGATTGTCTGTAACCTTCAATTGGGTGAAACACTCCATCACAGGGCAACAGTTTTTCAATCAAGTTACCTCAAATGGGTTAGCTTACAGAATGTATCCAGAATCTGGGACCCATTACACCTGCGGCATTGAAATTTGGGAAAGTGGTTGCTGCTTCAGCGCCACTGTGCTGCTACTGCTTCAGCACCACCACTGTGCTGATGCGGTCAGCCACAGTCATGTGATCCTCCTTTCCAACACTCTCTGACAGCTTCCCACAAGTCACTGGGAAAGCCAGCAGGAAGTCTAAACTTGATTATAAGAGGGTTCATTGGTTGGGGAGACTTACTAGGGAGGGGGGGAAGGGGG